GTGGGAAGAGGCAGGTTTGGTGTTGATGGATGTAAGCTGTCATCCAATGACCAAGAATTGCCTGATTATTGTGGCCACAGAGGATTTGTTAGATTGTTAGTTTCTAACCAGTCAGAATTGTTGTTAACTATCCCAATTATAAAAATGATAGGAATTTATTTTGCATACAGATTCAAGAATTCGGCTTTCTAAATCAGTCATGATTTTGGTGAAGAGAATGCTATCACCTTTGTGAAGTTGTAAATTATGAAAGCCGTTTGTGATGGATTGTAGAATGTCCCATGGGGTTTGTATGATTTATAACATTGCCTCAGGCCTTCTACTGCCTCCTGTTGGAATGACCTCCTCTTCAACCCTTGACTGCCAGCTATAATGCAACTCTTTCCCTTGGATCCTTTAGGCTTGTCACATGACAGACATGAACTGTGACCCCTTTGTTCTTTATCTAGATGATTGGGTCTCTGTAGTCTTACCTTTTTGTTCCATTCTTACACTTTCCTTTTAATTTCCTACAGAGATGAGATGGGGTTTTTCTACTAGTTTTTATTTTCTGTCAGAGTGCAACATTGGTGCAGAAGAAACAAAAATCAAATCATAAGCTGACTAAATTTTTATGTAGGGAACATAACCCACCTAATCAGTGCTCAGGATAAAAGGGAAGCATCATGGGAGCTTTAGAAAACCACTGTACTCTTCTAATTGCTCCTTCGTTCCCCAAGAACTCATTACCTGATTCTTGGAGCCTTGCTAAATAGAACCATACAGTTCCTTTGTGTCCTGGGTTCTCTCAATTGTTACAGTTTACTTCACTATATGTGACTTTTGCTAAAAATGACTTTTCTGTCTTTTCATAAAGAGAGAATTTCTGAGCCATTTTAAAATTTATGCAACATGACAAGCTTGGTTGCAGGAAGATGCTTGGTGTAAACACTTAAATATGTATAGATTGTCAATAATATATCATTTATGGATGAAAAACTCTGCCTTGAGCTGGAAATGTAGCTAAGTAGGTCAAATGTGGTGATCTTTGGTTTGTGTTTTAACAAATAACACTTGTCTGAAGATGAGGGTGTGAAGCTAGGGAGTCCAGGCAGTGATGGCACACACCTTAAATCTCAGTACTTGAGAGGCAGAGACAGACGGATCTCTGTGAGTTCAAGACCGCTCAGGGCTACACCAGATTGAATCAATCTCAAAAAAGAAACAGAGCCAAGCGGTGGTAGCTCACACCTTTAATCCCAGCATTAGGGAGACTGAGACTGGAAGTGATATGGCTGAGCAGAGAGAGGAATATAAGGCAGGAGGAGACAGGAGCTCAGGATTTAGTCTGAAGTTTCCTAGAGACAACATTAATGCTGAGGACTTGATAGGACACCCCATTCAGTCTGAGGATTTCGTAGAGGTAAAAACAAATCGTGGCTGACTGCTCTGCTCTGCTCTTTCTTTCAACTTTCAACCCCCTAATGTCTGACTCCAGGTTTTTATTACTAAGACCAGTTATATAAGTCATGTAACGGTAAAGTCCTTATACAGCTTGCTGAAGCCCTGGGTTTGATCCTCACCACCAAATAAACCAGGCATGGTGTCACATGTCTGTGATCCTAACATGTGAGAGGGACAGACAAGAGAGCCAAAAGTTCATTGTTTATCCTTGGCCGCAAAGTGATTTTGGGGCTAACCTGATCTAAGTGAGATCTATCCTCCGTCCCTCCCTGCCATTCTTCTTTCCATCCTTCCTTTGTCCCTGTCTTCCTTCTTTCTTTCAGTACTTTTTTTTTCAAGACAGGGTTTCTCTGTGTAGCCTTGGCTGTCCCAAAACTTATTCTGTATGCTATGCTGGCCTTGTGGAGATCCACCTACCTCTGCCCCTCAAGGACTGGGACTAAAGGTGTGCACCACCATGCCTGGTATCAGTACTTCTTTAGAATGCACTAATGTTTTAAATAAATCTAACTCTTATAAACAAGATTATCATTGTCTAGGCAACCAGCCTCCAGGCAGCACAGGACTCAAAGGGAAATCCACAGTGTCACTGCATACTAAACTTTTCTATCCAAGGGGGTTGGGGGAAAAAAAAAACACTCACGTACTTTCTTGATGGTTTCCTTCAGAAACCTCTATAGAATAAAGGAAAGCCTTTATTCTTTTATTGCATTCTCTATTCTTTATTTTCCCAGTGATTTTCTACTCTTCATTGTTGATGTATTCTTTCTAACCTATGTTTATTCTTGGTGTTTTCCTTCTAGTTCCTACATTCTTGATGTTTTCCTTCGAACTCTCTCATTGGTGTTTTCCTTCTAGCCCATTTTAACTTAATTTATTTAATTCTTAAATATTTTTTCCCTTACAGCTTATATACCCTATCAGAATCTTTCAGGCACTATAAAAATTAAAATGTGGTTTCATTCTGTTTTTCAGGTGAATGAATACAAGTAAAAAAACAATATCTTTTTCATATTTATTACATGATAAAACACTTTACATATTACAGGTGAAAAATAAATTTCCCTAAGAACCCACATACTCTAGCAACTTCTTATAAATTAACCATATAGGCAAGGAAGCTATTCTTCTCAGTCATGTCTTTTACTAGCAGGTTGCATTTTGCAGTTACACAGAAAGGGCCAGTTGCTTTATTACTTATCTTGAAATGGAATCTTAAAGGAATCACAAACCTAAACTTTTCTATATAAAGAAGAATCAGTTAGCACTACTTTAATTCTTTAGAGTGCATACTTGTATCTCAAATTACAGAGAGAGAGAGAGAGAGAGAGAGAGAGAGAGAGAGAGAGAGAGAGAGA